GTTTGTGTTTATTGGACAGGAGCTGTTTTACTCTGTCGATTAATCTTTTGATTAACAGCCTTTGCCTTTGATCCTCTCTGTTTCTCCTCTGTTTTTAGTGAGTCCCTTATTGTCTTTTTTTCTTCATCCTACCTCTGCATCACACATGCACACACACGCACACACACCTACACACTCAGAATAAATACCTCAAACCCAGCAGAGGTGGCTGCGGCTGAGAAACAACCCAAGAGGCTGCTGTCACAAGTGTTTAGGAGACACAAACTGAACTTTAATTGTTCTTTTTCTTGCCTTCTGTCAGGAAAACAGCTGTGTAGTTAACTGTAGTGCATCAGGTTAAAATGTGATTCAAGTTTTTTTTTATTTTATAAAAAAAATATATTTATTTTATAAATAGATGGTAGTTTAATCTTATTTGTATTGTATTGTATTAGTATTTGTAACTAAGTGATTATTTATTCTAAGAATATGCTATCTCTGATTATGTAACTATTTATGTTGTGAAAAATGCTCAGTCAGAATTCCAGTCAGTTTGAAACTGGATCTTTTAGTTATGTATCAGAATAAAATTAAACTGACACCACTAATTTTTCTTTATGTAACAACGTTTGTAGTTTTTCAGACTCTCAAGTATTTCATTTAAAAATAACACATTCTCCTCTGAAATGTCTCAATCAGCATGTTTCTGTATTCCTTTCTGTCATGTTCCTCTGAACGGAGGCTGCAGTCGCTTTTACAAAACACCCGAAGTGAAAAAGAATTATGGAAGGTTTTAATTTTCAAACTACAAAATCTACAATGCAGGAAAATGCATGAAATCATCTTATTAATATAAAACTTACTCGGCGTCTAACAGAAGGAAAATCTAAATCTCTTTACCTGGTACTTGTGTTGTTCTTTATTCAGTTTATTGGTCTGGCTTGTGAGAAGTTGTGCACAATGACATCAGCTGAGATCAATCAGGTGAGATTGATAATTGATTGAGTTTAACCTATTTAACAACTTGTTTCAATCTGTGTTATGGAACATGCTGGGAAATGTAAGCAGTCTTATGTAAATATTAAAATCAAGATAAATGCCTTCTAAGAAAGTGGAGACAGATACTTTCATCCTATTTCATGATATGTCATGTCATGTTTGTATTTTGCAGCTATTAGAGTCAAATAAAACTAGAAATATCACATTTGACAGCCAAGAGCAGCTGTTGCTTGATTCTTGAAACAACTTTTCAACAAAGAGCAGAGAGCCGCAGCTATGCTTCAGATTAGCGCCTGTACATTATATTGAAGTGCTGCAGACGTTTCATTAGCCTTCCTGGCACTGAGCCTGGTTGCTTTATACTGTGCGGGTTCGCTTGCATCCTTTCACAGCCTCTTCCTGGTCCCCTATGTGCCAATGCACTCTTCAGCTAATATTTTTTCGCTGTCTCTGCTCTGCCACACATGCATTTCAATGTGACCTCTTGGTGGCCTTCAGGCACTCAGTCTTATGGGAGCGAATCCTGCACCGAGCTCTTAGAGACAGCGGTGCCCCTCGGCAACTCAGTAATGGACATCTCAGGAAACCACAGGGGCTCAAAAGTTAATGGGAACATGTCCTTACAAAAGGCGCCACCGTCCCCTCTGTCCGAGGAAACACTTCTGTCTTGTAATATTACACAGATGACAGAAATAATAACTTCAGGCTGAATTTGACTTGCACTGCTATGAATAATTGGCTCCCTTAAAATGTTCCTCATTTTGTGCTTTTTTTTGTTGCGCTTAAATGTTTCAGAACATCATTTCTTACCAGACGACTAAGAAATCAACAGAAAAGGGTTTTAATTTATAATTTCATTTAATTAAAAAAGCTGTCTACAACTGCCAGACAATGTTAAACCATGAAATCATGCATTTTCTGTCATTAACCACATTCTTCGGAAAGTAAATTTTAATTTCACAAGCCACACCCACCAAGTAGCGTGAATAATCTCAAAAGCAACATATCATGACCCAATCAATAACCAAAGAAATACAAGACAGGTGAAAAACTACAGTAAGTCATTGATGTGTAAATGTGCCACAAATTCATTTCTAAGACTTTGGGACTCATGTGAACAGCTGTGAGAGTCATAATCTCCAAACAGAGCAAACATGGAAGAAGCTTCCAGAAGCGGCTGGTCAAAGTCTATTCCAAGAACACAGTGGAGACTCAACCAGGAGGCCATCGAAAGAAGCAGAACATCTAAAGCACCACAGATCTCCACAGAAAATTCATCCATAGCCCCAATAAACTATTTTTCTTTTTTTTTCTTCTTTTTCTTTATGAATGACAGTTGCTGCCACCTGTTACCATTAGATATTATGTTTAGGGATTAACCCTGCTGCGACAGACTGGCGACCTGTCCAGGGTGACCCCGCCTCTCGCCCGGAACGTTAGCTGGAGAGGCACCAGTGCCTCCCGACCCCACTGAGGGTGTAAAGAAAATGGATGGGTGGATGGATTAACCCTGAATAAATGAAATCATCAAAAGGAAACAATTTTGAATTCACGTTTGGCTCTAAGTAGTTTGACGATCTGAACAAGTACATCAGACAAAAGAAGCAAAGGCAGAAGAAACCTGAATGTAAAATATACTTTTTACAGCACTGTATCTTAATTACTGTAAATTATCTAATTTACCTTTATTTTTATACATAACCTTTAGCAGGATAACAATGTTTAGCAAGGAATGAGAATAATTAAATATAGTTTTGCAATTATAGTCATTAGACATTAATACTACCCCCACAAGCACACAGTGACCTCAGCATCTCGCTGAGATGGATTCAGGCAGCCAACCATGCATACTGTGATATGTTGGATCAATAGCGACAGCCCTCCAACATTTCTCCCACCATTTCTCCTCATGCCTCCCCCTGACTGACAGCTCCCATCAGTCTGTGTCCAATGTTTCCTGAGCACAGGGACGGAGCTGCAGCTGTATGCAAAATCACATTCACCTATATCCGTTACAGACAGGCAAATTGGCCCAAGTATTGAAAAACTAGCAAGTTTATTCTGTATTCTAAAACAATACATTTTTATGTTTCATTTCAGAAAGTAAGGCCTGATTTTACTCCAAGTTCAGTCACAATTTGGCAGTGAGAGAACTTGATTTTATTTTCTTTGACTAGACTGGATTAGGTGATCTTGTATTTCACCAGGTCACCTTGAGATCAAGCCAAAAATGCAACGAGCTGGCAAACTGCTTTCAAACTTTCGCCAAATTCTGCAGCACTAAAAGTAAAAGGAGGCATTATGCTTGCTGGCAGTACTTGTGACACTAAAGTCTGGAGTCAGGCTTATCTTTGCTTATTCTATACAGTCAAAATCTGTACTGACTTCACAGTACCCGTCTGCTTTACTAAGCCTGCATGTCTTAATAAATAAGTGTTTTTCTATAGTTTGTTTCAGTAGAAAAACAATTTTCCTGGAATCTAGTGATACAGCTGTGTGGTTTCCTAGAACGTGACTGAATAAGGTACAACTCAGAAAGATGTCCACATATGATGCACTGGTATTATTATATAAGGACTGAGCAAAATCAATAAATAAAAACTCCCTGAAGCAAGTGAAATTTTTACTGTACAACCTTTTTGTGATGCTTTCAAGGCTTTCTCTTCAGTCAAAGTGCCATTCATTCTCCAGCATAGACACAAAAGATTTAATGCAATAAAAAGTCCTAAGAACTTTGCTTACAATGAGTTTTTAATGATAAATATCATTACTGTTTGCATAAGCTGCTGGGACAGTATCCTGTGGATTTCTCTGAATATATTTGTTTATGTTATGCTTTAATATACATGAGAAATACTCCCAGCACATCTAATGCACCTGCAGTCTGTTCCAACTCCGCTCTGGATTTAGATAGCTGTAATAATAAATATGCTGCCACAAAGAAACTCTTCAAGTTCACCAGCTGAGATTAATTTTCAGGTCGCAATATTTTCACTTTATGATTTAAATATGATCATCTGCAAGAAATACAGCAGGCACCGAGGTAGCAGTCATCCTCAAATAAATTAAGTCTACAAAGTCCACATTATTACATTCCTCCTTGTGAACCTTTGAAACAGCAATGATTCTGAATAAACAACAGGATCTTTCACTACAACAGGGTTCTAAACTGATGTTCCAAATGTTGAAGTTCTTTGTAACCCTACATACAGTGGTCTGGCTCCTTTGATTTTTGTTTTACTAAGTGTTTTGTTGCTTTGAAAACTTTGCCCAAAATATTAGGTCATATTTAGTGGCAACCAATAGGAGGATCAGTGACAACAAGAGAAGGGGAAAAGAAGTAGAACAGATGGTAAGAGAGACAAAAAGGAAAGTGTGAGAAGACAAGGCTAATGAGGGAGGACACAGATGAGAGAAAAGAGGGACAGGCCAGAGGACAGTTTTCTGCATGTAATTGGCTCAACGCAGTGCGTAGACTTGCAGGTGGTCTCTCCCTGTCTTTGACCTTGAGTGCTTACCACAGGATGATCGTACCTTATGCCAGCTCAACACAGTGAGAGAGCAGAAAGAAAGAGGAGAGGGTGGGTGAGTGGGCACAGCGCTGACCCAAGCACATCTCTAGAGGAAATCACCCCACCCATGGGGGCTTGCACTGCCAACAAAATTAACTTCCAGTCTTTTTTTTGGCAAGCACAGCATGCAATCAAGCAAGCACTGGTATTGTTTGTCTGGTGAGTCTGTGCACTGCGCCACTCTCTGTTTACGTCCCTGTTATGTTGAGGTTCCAACTTTCTTGTGATTTTGTTTTTTTACTCTTTACTTCTTATTTAAAAACACTGAAAAAAGTTGTAACAATTAGGATTTATGTCTCCGCCTCTCGCCCGGAATGTTAGCTGGAGATAGGCACCAGCACCCCTCCCGACCCCACTGAGGGACAAGGGGGTTCAGAAAATGGATGGATGGAAGGATTTATGTCTTAATCTTTACCACAACTCATGTTTTAAAGATGGATCTGTGCTTACCAGAAGTTGACCAGGAAGGGATGCTCGAGGTTCTGCATGATCTGCAGCTCTTTCAGGACATTTCTCACTTCGTTGCGTTCCACACATTTCAGCTTGTTCATGTACTTCATGGCGTACATCTTCTTGGTGTCCTTCTTCTGCACGATGCAAACCTGTTGGGATCATATGAGGGTAATGCTTATTCTCATCAATGCTTTATTGCCCTGGTAAATGATTGGAAAATGTTATTAATATAATGTATAATGTGGAACTCATTCTGAAAGATAATGCATACCAATTTGACACATCATTAAAACATCTTCTAACAGCTGCCAATTAACAATTATCCAACAAAACTAGAGATGTACTGCACTGGCAGTGAAAGAGAGAGCATGTTTACATGGGTGACAAATACAAAACCAGCGATAATAGACTCTCACCTCTTTATTACCTGATTGGTTTATAAATGCCAACATCCTTATGAGATTCATGAATCAATCTTCATTGAATGTGGCACAACAAACCCTCAAACAATCATGCCTGCAGAAATCCTCAGAACATTTTTTCTTCCTTGTAATCATGAATTTAAAACGTTTCAGATTATCTACAAGTTTGAGTTTTAAACTTGGAAAAAACTTGGTGCATGGCAAGTACAAAAAACTGAGAAATGCAGTACCTCTGGTGTTTCAGATTTAACCCAGAAACACGTAAAACCCAGTGGAATCATGGCTTCTGGTTACATGTCAAATGATAGAAACACATTTTAGACTTTGATAAGAATAATTGCAATTTTCAGTGCTGCATTATGACCAATTTATTTGCAGTTGTTCTTGTTCATTCTGGGAACATCAATAATCCAATGATTGCTGCTGTCTAAGTGAGTGATCTCTGCACCAACTGACACAATGAATCACCCAAAGCCTGATCGCCTCACTTCGCTTCACTTCGCTTCACTTCGCTTCACTCTTCACATCCAACAGCTTGCCTTTCCTGTTATTAGGCTGATTATCTGCTGTTGGACTTGCACTGACGTTATGTGGATGTGTGGTGTGTTTGTGAGTGTGTGTATTTGTATACATTATGTACTTAAAACAACATACTGGGTAGGAAGGGGAATCACTTTGAAATATGTGGTTTCAAATGTTGTAGTCCAGCTGCTGTAAACTTAGATTTGTTTCTCTTGTGTCCCTGGTTCTTTTCAAACAAATTAAAAGGTAAACTTAGCTGGAATGTATACCATAATGTTGTATAACTGGATTTATTACTCTGTCTTAACTGGAACCCAGAAACGACAGCATATAACCCCAGTATTGGATTCTGAGGATTGGCTGCCAGCTTCTTACCGGATTTGATTTTAAAATTCACTTATTGGTTTTTATCTCCAGGACATTCTTCACAACCATTCCACTTCCAGAACACTTCGATCAAATAATAAACCGCTGTAATGTGTTCCCAGAAGCAGAGGAGACGGGGCATTTGCTGTCACTGCTCCTAATTTGTGGAACAACTTACCCTTCAGATCTGCTGATGGCCTGGAAAACTTCACATCACTCCTCAAAACTCATTTTTATTCTTTGGCATTTACAGAAGGCCCAACATTACAATTTGCCACCCTGTTTGTTTAATTTATTGTGTTTTATTTCTATGTATTTTTACTTTTTTTTTTTTTTTTACAGCTAATAGCTGTTTGTAAATTGCTTCATGAATAAAATTGACATTGAAATTAGTGACAGTTTTATAACATTGATAAAATGTTGGTTCCCATCGTTCACTGGGAACCAAATACATACACAATACACTCTGTGGATTTACAGCTCTACACACAGATGCATTTTTTATCTTCATCATCTTAGCTATCACAATACCTGATTTCTATTCAAATTTTTATCCATGAATGGATTCAGATAACTACTTAATGAACCATTTGCATATAAATCACAAGTTACATATCAGATTATTTGAGAAGGAAATGAAAATCAGATGAGAAAAGTGCTAAAATATTACCGTGTTGCACCCAACTAGACAAACAGAATGATGGAAAGCAAAGTGTACCGTTCTAAAGCCTGTGTGAGATCAGAACAAATGACTGTTGCAGTAGAAAAATGGTGCCAGTGTTATCTACCAACAAGGCACCAGCAGGAATTTGTGATACCATAGAATGAGAACAAAACGTGCCTGCAGGGACACTGCATGTTTTACATGAAGCTAGTGTTTTAAGTTCATTATTCGGGATACAAGTAATTGATTTAAATATGTTGAAGGTGGACAAAAGGTAAATAACTTTAACTTACCTTTCCAAAACTCCCTTTTCCGATAGCCCTCAAGATTTGGAAATGGTCAAAATTGACTGTAACAAAAAAAACAGAAAGAAAAAATTATTATGCATTGTCTGAAACTCAAAAAAATACATTTAGAAATTGTAACTGATGATTCTGATCAATGGTAAGTTACTGCATAGAAGTTATTGAAATCTACTGTCATTAAACCCAGTTCAGTTCTACAAGTACAGCAGGGTCAAGGTCCATACACATTTTTCAAGTCAAGGCTTGCAGGCTCATATTTTCAGAGTTTTCCCAGTACATTTTATTTCACTTCATAAGAAGAAACATAAAAATTTACAGTAAATCTAAGGTTGATACATAGTTTTAAGTGGTTTGAATATGGAACAAGTATACAAAACTGGACAGGAAGGAGATTAAAGATCATGACCAGATGGATGGACGGATGGACAGACAGACATAAACACAGCCAGAATGAGGCTATGCAGTTACTTCATAGTCAAATCCACTGTACATCAGAGAGTGTGAGGATCAGGCCCACCTAATATGATTAGTTCAGTCTAAACTGATTAGCAGGTGTCACTTAAATTTAAAATGACTCCCAGATGAGTTCCAGGGTCTCATGATTTCCTCAGCTGAGTTAAACGAGAGAAAGGCTGTCAAAGTGCCAATTACACTCTTGTGCAGATGTTGATTATTTCATGCCGTTACTCGAGTGTCCATCATTTACTTCAGCACATCAAGCCACTGAAAGTAAAATATAAACCTCCTCCCTCTCTTTTCCTTTGCTTCCTTGTGTGTCTTCCTGTAATCACATTATCTTACATCTAATCCACGAACGCAGCTGTGTCTCTGAAATCATCAGGACAGGATCTCCCAGTAGCTAAGCAGTGAAATGACTGTAATTACCAGAAGCCTCTATGGGTCTGTGTTGACTTTAGACAGTGGCAACTCTAAATCTGCATGTTTGTGATATGTGTGTGTTATATAGCTGGTCCCATGTGGACTATATCTGGACAGGTTTCGTAAACACCCCGGCACAGATAGTGTGAAACGGGGAAGTGCCACTGATACGTGACTAACGGAGCATAACATCAGCTGTCACATCCAATTGATCTAGTGGCTGCAGGCTAAATGTAAGAGTGTGTGTCCCTGTGTGTGTGCACAGTGTAGTGTTTTAAATGTCCTGTGGATGAGTGTGTTTTTGGTAATTGTCAATGTATGTGTAGCATCATTTGAGTGTGTCATCCGATGAGAGCAAACAACGGGCAGCAGCTGTTCCATCCTCTGGGACAGCAGCAGAGGGGGAAAACCGTCTGTCCTCGTTGTCATGACAGCAAGAAACAAACAGCCCCCATCCGCTTCCAATAGCCGATAAAGTGGCTGATAGAGAGGAGTGAGACAGAGGGAAATGCTCTGGCTGTGTTCCCATATGTGTGTTTGTTAGACAGTGACTTGATAACAAAATGAACCAAACACTGGAAAGCTGCTAAAAGGAAAGCACTGGAAATGTCCCCTCAAATCTTTGAAATGACTCTTAAGGGAAACCATGCAGCAGTCTTAGTGGACATCGCTTGTGCTGAAGATTATTTTGGTTCATGCCAGAATATCAGAGATTTCTGATTAATCTGGAGATCTTTAGCTCCTTCAATTCAACAAATGGGATAAAAGAAGATTGAAATTCTCAGAACAACCAGAGTTTATCTCCTTTTTAATTATTTCTTTTGTTTGTTACACAGCATATTTACAGAGATAAATTTTAACAGTTGTGTAGAATTTAGGATATTCATTAAATATTGAATCTTTATCAGGAATCATTCTCATATCAATCTGTAATTTTTTTTCTCATAACTAGAAAAAGATGATTTGCTTGCACTTAAGTTACAAAAATTAGGATTTCCTAATCCTCAACCAGTTCCTTTTGAATATTTTTATATCCAAGGCTCCAGTTTTCCTTTAGGTTTATTTTTTTTACAGATGGTCTTACATTTTTTACAAACACCTTCTGACAGAGTTCATCTGATGGAGAGCTGACCAGGTCCTCCAGCAGTAACGCATCCCCAAATCATGCCACTTCCACCTTTATGCTGTATATGCACAACCATAACATCTGCCTTCTGTCAGTGGTGACCCAAGTTTGAACGAAATGAAATCTGAATCCTCTTGAAAGAACACATTAACTGTGAAAATATTGGATTTGGCCTCCAGGTAAACATTAATGTCAGTTTTTTTCTTTCTCACTCACTTGAATAACCTGATCTGATGTGACAGAGGGTTTCTAATGTGATCGAACAGATTGAGCAGGAGTCTAGCGGTGGTTTAATCAGCACATCCAACACCTTAAAACACATCATCTCTTCCTACTCTTTCACATTTAGTTGCAATAAAACCACAAAGTTTTAGAGAAAGCATCTCTGAACAGAAATGTTCAAGGTTGGAACAAATTTCCTTCCTGGATTGCCCCGCTCCATCCATCTCCCCATCAACTGTGACCAGATTGCCTGCACCTGATGTACCTTATGAACACTAATTTTTAAGACAGCATAGATCGCTCTAAAACAATCTACTAAGGATAAACTTAATACTGAGTCATGGCTAAATAAGGTAAAGCCTCAAAGTTAAAATCTCATCTATTGATTAGCTGAAAGTCATAGCCTAAAGCCGGTCATGATTATAGTTTGGTCTAACATCAACAGAAATCTTTAAATCTGAGCTGCAACAGAATAATTCAAATCTATGGATAGGTTCTTTCACATGTTTTGGCTTAAATGACATTTTGTATTAAGTTAGGTGAATCTAAATGTCTTAAAATGTGGAGTAAAAGTAATTTTATGTCTGTCTCTCAATCTTTGTCTTATTACTCCAGCAAATTATCTGAGTGCCCACTTTGTGTCAGAACATCGGTCGTCTTTGGTAACTGAAATTTAAGGTCTGTGTCCAGCCGTGAATAAATTCTGGTGGCCACTAAAAGTGGCCAATCAATTAAGTAAGACCTCACATGGCTGCACAGTGTGGGAAGGAAACACACACACATACACACACACACACACACACACACACACACACACACACACACGCACGCACACACACCTGGTGACGTATGATCTGCAAACATCAAACTCTGGGGAGATAAACAAGTCTTGACAGAGTCTACCTTCATACAAACACCTCTGAAAAAGTCAGCCAGCACCAAATGACAGGATGTGGTTTGATCATTTACAGAAATTAAATGTTAACATTTCTACAGAAATTTTAACATTTAATTCATTTTTGTATCCTGTTGATGTGATAAACAATTTGTCCCAGCTGTATTGTGTCTCAGACACAACAATTCTGACGTTTCTTTTAGAAATTAACTGCTTTGGTAAAAAAAAAAAAAAAGTGTCATGGGTGTCAATAACTAAAGGAGAGTAAAGGGTATTGCTAGTCAATTTTTCTTTGACTTTATTAAAATGCTTTAGGTGTTTCTGTGCTGTGTATTTGTTAATTAAATAACATACTATGTACATTTTGCCGCAGCAAATGGATTCACAGCTTCACAGAACAACCAACAAGAAACTGTTACCAATATCACCTTGGAGTGACAGTGAAAAGTCAATTAGCATTTTTATTGCTACTCAAAGCAGTGATTGCATGATGGATGTTAATATGTATACTTAACATGCAGAGTACTGACACTTATCAAAATATTAGAATTGGAAATTGACATATCAAGAGATGAGAAGGAAGTTTGTTCCCAGTCAGTTTAAAAAAACGACTATAAACGTGAACACTTGAGTCAGGCTTTAGCTACGGTTTTGCTGAGGACTGAAGGCGTCCAGGCATTTCAGAAAGTTAGCTGAATCAAGTCAAGTTCATTTGTGTAGCACATGTCACCAAAAAGACAGTTCAAACCACTTTACATCAAACAAACATAATATAGTCAATTATGGAACAAGCAATAAATGTTACGTCTGTAAAAATATCCCAGTTTAGCTAGTTTGTTCCACAACTAAACTGGGCGGCTCCAAGAACTGGGGTATTTCACTTTATTAATAGCAAACATTTCAAAATGCTACAAAACATGTTTAGAGAATATATGTTAGAATTGACTGGAGTGGCAAGTTGTACAAACCATACATCATCATTCCCTCCATCAGTAAATCTTACTTGACCAGTGAAGGTTGTTACAGACGCTGTACTGTACCGTCCTGCTCAAATCAGTAATCAATACTTTCACAAACACATTGAAGGCTAAAAGTCGCCAGAAATCAGTTGGGTTGGTTTAGTTTCCACACCATAGCTCTCAGTTTATTTTACAACAGGAATTATTTCTGAATGGTTTTACTCATAAGTGACTGAGAGCATAGCAGTGTTCAGTGAGCCAGCTGATAGGCAGTGTACAGCAACAGTTGGGTAGAGGGAGCGCTCCAATATTCCACACTACATTAAACTGGAGAAAATGTCTGGTCAATCCAGCATAATTTATGGAATCTCATTAAAAAGAGTACAACATGATGGGAACTTTTAGTAGTTTTGAAACTACTGCATTTTACACAGTTTTTACCTTTGGTTCCCAAATATTGTGATTGGTGGAATCTTAATGAGTCTGGCACAAATCATGTTTGGATGATGAAGCTTCAGCAGAAAAAAAAAAAAAAATTAGCTAATTTATCATCATGTTGCTAAGATGCTTTCAAATGCTGCTTCTTCCTCAGCTCCACTAATTATATTGAAATTTATTCTAATTATTTTAATAATGTTAAACTGTGGCTAAGTTGATTTTAAGCTTTACTGTGAATTTGAAGAAAGAAAAATGTTACTTTCATCAAATTTGTCTGAATATTTCCCTGTTGTCTTTGATCTGCTGCAGAGAGGATACCACAGTAGTGTTTCATGCAATACGACTGTATTTAAATACAGGCTGCTGTCTGTTGTGATTTTATATATTTTAATTGAATGAATACATTGTGAACATTGTGAGATAAGCTTCTTACTTTAGGTAATAAAGGGATATTGATATTTTCTCTTGGTGATTTAAATTAAGCAGAACTTTAAGTTTTGTAAGTCATTTTTATTTCATACTGTTTTTGGAGTAATGATGAATCTACTTCAGTAGTGTTAATTTGTGCACAATTTTATTTTTACCTTCCTTGTCATTTGTTGTAAGCTGCCTGACTACCATGCTGGGAAATGTGAGAGAGCATGTCACCGCCTGCTAAAGAAGTGTCCCCCGTGCTGCCATGTTGTAGAAATAAACCTATGCAGATCCTCATCCCCGGTGTGATGATTATTATTAAAAAGCAGCACACAATATAAAACAAGTAAGATAAATAAAACAGGACTGGTGTGATAAAATTCATGCATAGAAAACGCTAATGAACATTATAGGTAGTGTTATCATAGCTTAAATAAGGATATATTTTGAATAAATTTCATCAGCTCATGCAGTGAAAAGTATCATACTGTAAGAATGATGCTCCATTCCTATTACATATCAATTCCACTGAGTCATAAGCTGTAACCCAATGAGGAAATACACACGTCAATGTTGAGCAAAAACAGCAAAGTAGAGTGGAATCATTAGGTTCCTACGACTTCAAAAGGAAAACCCTCTCCTGTCTCTGAAGCAGCTTTCATCACCAAGAAGATTACTTTGTTTGTGGAGATTCTTTATTATTATTCAAAGGTTGTGTCCCCTGCTTCAGTAAAGAAAAGAACTGTTGTATGTTTAGATTATACGGAGCCCTCCAGGGGACATGGGGAAATATGTTTTTCTTTTGCATTACCTCGCAAAACTTTTGTGTTCCCTCGCAATAATCAGTTCATGCGGCATAATTGATACTGTAAGCCTTTCTTACGGTGACCGCCGTAGTTTCTGCATTAATATAAAGTTATGTAAAGTTTTTCCATGAATGTTAATATCTTGTTGTGAAATATCTGATGTTTTATATCTTTTTCTTTAGTATAGAAAGGCACCATAAACCTATTATACAAACAGAAACTTTCCTTAAGGAGGAAAGAAATAAAAATACATCCTAATTTGGACCATTTCTGAGTTATTATCACAGGGTAATACGTCATCTGACAGTTTTGATTGTGTCTCTGTTGTGTTCTAGTCTGAATGGTTTAAAGGGCCGTTTTCATGTTCAGTTCCATCTCAACCTTAGCAGACATAAACATACAGTAAATAAATCCACTTTCAATCAGTTTTTTACACCAAAGAGTTAATAATAATAAACAGGTTTTATTATTATAAAACATGGCAGGTGGTAGAGGGCGGCACCGGGTTAACTCAGGGAATCTCATCTGTTCGTGTATCAATCAACTCCAAACCTCTTCTTTGTTCTGTCACAATTATCGATTTATTTCATTTTGATCATGATGCTCCAAACTTTGCGAGGACTGACCACCCGCTCACCCGATTCCTCATACACACAAAGCCACCATGCCAGTCACCTTTCCATTCATACTTGATGACAGCCACGCCCACATGGACACGCCCACCACCAGGTGTCAAAGCAGCTGCTCTTGTCAGATCAATAATTACTTATTTCATTCATATTGCTCTTACAGAGCCTCAGTGAAAACTTGTTTATTATTATTAACTCTTTGGTGCAAAAGACTGATTGAAAATCGATTTATTTACTGCATGTTTATGTATGTTAAGGCTCAGATGGAACGGCACAGAAAGCAGCCCTTTAAACCATTCAGACTACGAACATAACAGAGACACAATCAGATGACTTATTACCCCACGATAATAACTCAGAAATAGTCCAAATTAGGATGTATTTTTATTTCTTTCCTCCTTAAGGAAAGTTTCTGTTTATATCATAGGTTTGTGGTGCCTTTCTATACTAAAGAAAAAGACATAAAAAGTCAGATATGTCACAACGAGATATTAACATTCATGGAAAAACCTTACATAAGCTTGTATTAAAGCAGAAACTACGGCGGTCACCGTAAGAAAGGCTTACAGTATCAATTATGCCGCATGAACTGATCAGTAGATTATTGTGAAGGTACGCAAAACCTTTTGTTAGGGAGCGCAAAAGAAAAAAGTTTCTCCATGTCCCCGGGAGGGCTCCATAAGATTAACTGCTGCATCAATCCAAAGTTCAAAAAAAGTAAAGGCAAATTCTATATGTGGCATTTCCAAAATTTAACAGCAGGTGTTCATTCTATATTTTTATATTTTTGGATATATGGTATAGATAACTGTATTACAACTTTAAAATCTAAAATATTTTTTGTGGCAAAAATAATTGTTTCATTTCTGTTTAAAATAAAAGCAATTAAACTGTGCTAAATTAAAATAGTATTTTTTGCAAACTTATCAAATAATGCAATTGCACAAAAGGCACTATTAGCAATTTGCTGGTCTTTAAGCTAAACAGCCGTTGACTGTTATGTGTTCCTAATTTTGTCAGGTAGCAATAACACTTTGATGAGGCAGCAGGAAAGATGCTGAATGCTGCATGCACAACCTGTCAGTTCATTTGTGGGCAGTAAACAGGAAGAAAAATACACTGAAAAGAATCATCTGGGTTTTAACACTCACCCTCATCCGTGTCGTCAGTGACCGGGGTCTTGCTGGACTGTCCGAGTCCCATGGCTGACTGCTCCTCGCACAGATCGTCCTGCTCTTGCTCAACTCAGCCTAGTTTGGAGCAGCTCTCCTTCATAGCCTGGTCAACGGCTCAGCGCACTGAGAGACTCATGGGCTGGATCCCGTTTTGCTGACTTAAAGTGCTTCTCTTAGGCCACACATCACTGCACAAACGCAAACACACACAAAGAGAAGGGCTGGGGGTGTTGAACTATAAAGCCACCAACACACACACACACACACACACACACACACACTCACTCTCTCACAGGGAGAACCCCCTACGCTTGCTGTCTGTCTTCAATGGTGCTTTAGACGACTGCAGGCAGACGGACAACTCTTTCCAGCAGAGAGGAGGAGGGTGGGTGATATGCCTGTGGCTATGAACCTCCTTTGACTGGGAGTCTAACCTGTGAGGGGAGACAGGGAAAACCTGAAACCAACAGCTGATTGGAGGGAGGCGGGACAGAAAGGAGGACAATGAGGAAATGGTACAATACTGATTTTCTAGACACTAAGACATCAATGTTTTAAAAAGCTCAGACTTATAGAGGAAACAGGGCTTTCTGTTCCGTTCTCTTTAGTCTTCATCTTTCCTTTGTCTGCCATCTATCAATTATTTAACTTCCATATTTTAATCAAAAGCCCATCCCAGAGGAGCACTGTCTGCAGAGCATGTGTGAATAATGGTAGAACCAGCTTTCCCATTAACAGCATACAACTGGAGGCTTTTGATTTACAACTTAGTGCACTATGAACGAAAATAATTCAGGCTGTCCTCACAAAACTGTAGGAGTTAGAATGAGATTTTGCTTCCTGGCCAGACAGACCACTGGCACCTAGTGTAGATCTTTTAATGCTTTAGCTTAGATAACTGAATGCGTCTTATCCATAAACTCCTTTGGACATTTTCCCTGAAAAAGTTTTCTGTTGCTTCACCTTAAGATAAGTAACAGCCTATATTTTTAGTGACATTATCACAAAGATGATGAAGACTTACTGAAAGTCTATCAGGGGTTCCACAAGGTTCAGATCTTGGTCCAATATTGTTTTCTTTATATAAAAACATCTAAGGATTGTGAATTTATAATTTGAACCATTGTGATTTTATTTTACAGGTTTTATAACTGTATAATGGTCAAGAGAAGGAATGTTTATTTTTAAATATCTGATATTTAACCAAGATATAACTTGCCATGTAACATTAGCATTTTATCTCTTTTGAGCAAATATTAAGTCCTTGAGATTTTATTACAGAAATAGGTCCGGCTTTTATTTAATGTAAATTGGAAATATCAAACCTTTCCTTGTTGTTTTCCGAGATAAATTCACTTCTTTGTGATTTTTGCTTATTTGAATTGTGCTGCAGCTGCCTCTGTCGGGTCTGTCTGGCAAACAAGATGTGGGATCTCAATGGGACAAAGTTGAATAAAGAAAACTGGATTAAACGGAATGGGTTTATAATAATGTAGCCTGTTTACATTCACCCTTTATTAGCTGACACATCCAGAATGCGTCACCACCGCACGTCCGAGCATCCTCTCTGAGTTAAATTAAATATTCAAAAACTAGTGCGGGACGCCGCAGTGCTGAGATCCCCGCAGAGGACACTGTGCTCGGAGCCCCTTATCTGATCTGAGAACATGCGCTGAATAGAAAGTACCCCGTGGCAGCAGTGGGGTGCACCTACCTCCTCAATACTGATAGTTGAGCATGACACCGCTCCAAGCCGAGCTTGCTGCAGAGAAACCGTAATGCAACAGTCCAGCTGAAAGCAGTAGTTGTATTCCGGACGTTGCTGCACCGGGACACCTGTCACCCGAAAAATGGGTCCGCGCAGCGGGACGTGACTCTCGGGATGCGGCGCTGGAGTACAATGCGAAATCCCGTTCAGCGTCTCTGAAGGACAAAGGCTGCAAAAACTGGGATTTTTCGGTAGGAGGAGTGCGCCGCACGTTGCTCTGATGCGCGACTGACCTCCACATCGCAGCCTGAGTGAATAGGTTGGCCACCAACAGCCGTGTTTCCACAGGGAGGCACGTTTCATTAGGCTCCCCGCTGGGTCCCGCTGTGGCCACGGGGCTGAGGTTCCCCCGTGGGGCTCCAAACACATCAACATGAGAGGAACCCCCAATGTGCTTCTTCACAAATGTTATGTAAATTTCACCTAGTGATGATGTAACATGTCATTCTGAAAATGCCACAATTCATCACCTAAAATAAATGTGACATGACCTTATGAGAACTTGTTTACATCAGTAAGTAAGTGCTAGGTTGTATTTAGATCTGGTTTTAAGAATGTAAATCACTAATTTATATTGTGAGTAAAGACAGAAACCCTAAAATCAAAATATTGTTTCAGTTTATGTGGAGCAACGCATGTTGATGATCCCTTTAGAACAGCGCCCCCTACAGCAAATATCGGGTTGCCACCTCGCACATGTGCTCTGCTGAAAGTCAATTTTTTTGTAATGTGATGAAAAATCTTGCTATTGTAAAATCCTGTAAATTTACACTCGGCAGTAAAACTATTTATGCAGGAAAAACAAGAATTCAATGCAACTCTATACAGTTACTCTATGTTTCAAAATAATTTTCCATATAAAATATAAATATAGAGTTTTTATTGTGTGAACATCTGATGCTGCTGTTGCAGTTGGATTTCCCCTTTGTGTGACAATAAAGGATTTTCTATTCTGTCTTTATTCCAATATAAAGACAGTTTTATTTTTTTTATTTTTTTAGCTTGAACAGTGAAGTCAGCCTCCTGAGTCAATACTTTGTGGAACCATCTTTTACTGCAGCTTTAAGTCTTTTGGGGTATGTCTCTTTCTCCATTCACCTTCTATAAGGCAAGCTGAAGATTTACATCTGGAGGTGTGTTAATGAACCCTTTTTCTGCAGCTCATTAGGTTTATTCTCATTGTTCTGTTCCATATTTGCCTTTCATTTCTGTAGTGTAGGGAAGCAAAGTCATTCCAGGATCATCCACCCCTGTTTGTAGCACAAGAACATACAATCTGATTACAGCTCGTGCAAGCTGATGTTTGATGCATATGGGAATCCTGCACGAGTCTCTCAGCTTCCACATGCACCCCACATGTCTGCAAGGACTGCAAAAATTAGTGCAATGACCCAGAAATGAAATTATTTAATCTCACTCAAAACATTGCAGATGCTCCTGCCACTTCAGCATTCTGGATGCTTGAATTTGAAAATAAAATTGGTACCATGACAAACCTTTTCATCACTTTGACTAATAATTATCAAACCACTAAGAAGGTGGTCATAGATCATGGAAATTCCATTGCTAAATGGTCTGTTGATCCATCTTTGTGAAAAAAAAAAAAAAAAAAATGAAACAGGACAGAAGCATCTCAGCAAAAGTAAAATGTTTCGTCCTGACAGAAGAGAAAACTTGAAAATCTTAATTTTTCATTACATTTTTTATAGACAAGCATCCATGGAAAGATGTTTGAAAGTAGCTTTAGTTTTCTGTCACATAAAGTATTGCATGAGTCTCATCTGATCTTTTGCTGAGTCAGTAATATAGTATCCCAGTGAAATGCAAGTTTGTGGTTTTGACATAATGTGTGAAATTTCAAACGAACATTTTTGCATTGCCATGCTTCTACTGCATACCTTTGAAGCCAGAACTTTTCTTTGCTGCATCATAATTTGTCAGGTTTTGGGCCATTTGTTTAGCCCACCATCATCCATTAACTTGTGCTGCCATTAACTACAAACTGTAAAACACATCCATCCATTAAAAGGACTGCACACTCACCTCAGTCCCCTGTTAATTCAGTGGCCCAAGGTCAGAAGGAGAATGGCTGAGTGGTGGGACTGAGGGATGAATTATGCTGACGGTGCACACTGCTCATTTTTTCCCCCTTCTTGCTGTTCAGTCAAGCCAAAGCACACTGTGTGTGTATGTATGTGTGAGAGTGTGTATCATCCACCTTCATACCATACCATACCATACCATACCATACCATACCATACCATACCATACCATACCATACCATACCATACCATACCATACCAACTTTATTTATAAAGCACTTTAAAACAACCACAGCTGATACAAAGTGCTGTACATTAAAACACAACATAAAAAAAAACATAAAACAAAAACATACAATTTAAAACTAGATCCCGCCAGAGTTGAAAGCCAAGTAAAATAGATGGGTTTTAAGACGAGCTTTAAAAGTGGACGGTGAAGGGGCTTCTCTGACCTGCAAAGGCAAGTTGTTCCATAAATTGGGGCCCATGACAGAGAAAGCCCTGTCCCCTCTGAGCTTCCTTCTTGATCTTGGTACCTCCAAAAGCAGCTGATCTGCAGACCTGAGAGACTGATAGGGTGAACAATGAACATCTCAGCATGCTATGAAAAGTGACAAGCATCAGTAAAAACCATGCCAATCCCTTATTGGGCTTTTGGCAGTATCAGTAGGTGTGCTCGTCTTTTGGATGGAATGAGTGATGACTGTGTCATGTTACACCTGCAAGAGACAAAAGAAAGATTCTTACCAGGTGGGAGGCCTCAGCCTGTTCCACTGCTGTCATGTTTTTGTAAGTACATGAAATAATTTTGACCTGCAAAGTGAAGCATTGGTTTATCAGATTTAGTTGTTTGATTTTGAGCAACAACTTTTAACTACTATGGTAGCTGAACAAAATGAAGCTCTGCAGGAAAGTTTCTTGAAAATCAGTCCCACCTAGTGGATGAAAGTCAGAACAAAAAGTGTCTAAGATAACAGCAGTACAGTCTGGGCTTTATTTGGCTGAGAACATCAGCCTGTATTGTTAGAAAGGACAGGTGTTATTTTTTACTTTAGATAATGCAAATGCAGTCATGATAAACAGAACGTATATTTTAACATATGCTGGAACATACATTGAAAGCAGTTGGGTTTTGCATGGCTCTAAAATAAATTAGAATATATATATATATATATATATATATATATATATATATATATATATATATATATATATATATATATATATATATATATATATATATATATATATATA